TGCTAGCTTGTGAGATGAGTGCAATTGTGCAGTAATTTGAACATTCTTTGGCATTGCCTTTCTTTGGGATTGGAATGAAAACTGACCTTTTCCAATCCGTGGTCACTGCTGAGTTTTCCAAATTTGCTGGCATATTGAGTGCAGCACTTTCACAGCATTATCTTTTAAGATTTGAGATAGCTCAACTGGAATTCCATCTTCCCCATTAGCTTTGTTCGTAGTGATGCTTCCTAAGGCTCACTTGACTTGGCATTCCAGGATGTCTGACTCTAGGTGAGTGATCATGCCATCATGGTTATCTGGGTCATGAAGATCTTTTTTGTATAGTTCTTCTGTGTATTCTTGCCACCTCTTCTTAATATCTTCTGCTTCTGTTAGGTCCATACAATTTCTGTCCTTTATTGTGCCCATCTTTGCATGAAATGTTCCCTTGGTATCTCTAATTTTCATGAAGAGATCTCTAGTCATACTATAGATGCCTAATAAGTATTGGTAGGGGTAGGGAGATCAATCCCCCGACCCACAGTGCTCTGGGCAGGAGTTACCCCCGAACCTGCACCTTCACTCAAGTTCAAAAATCAAATCAGGAGAGGGGACTTCCCTGGTGGTCCAGTGGCTATGACTGCGTGTTCCCAATGCAGGAGGTCTGGATTTGATCCCTAGTCAGGGAACTAGATCCCACACGCCACAACTAAAAGTTCGCGTGCTGTAACTAAAGATCCTGCATGCCGCAACTAAGAACTGATGTAGTCAAATAAATAAAAATTAATATTAAAAAAACTTAAAACCAGAGGACAGGGAGCCCTTCCCCCAACTTCTTGGCTGCCCCGCATTTCAGTTTCTCCCAAATATGAGCCAGTCAGACAGCAGACACAGGGCTCTATGGTTGAAGGAGCCAGGACTCTATGCCTAACACAGCTGCATTAAGGAGGCATGACCTCGGACCAGGCTCTTCACCTCCTGTAGACTCAGTTTTCCCATATGGAATATGGGGTGAGATCCAGCATGTAGTGTGTGAGGTTGGTCATTGGCCTAGTATATGGTAGGTGATTAATAACTGTGTCACACTATTAGTTATTATAATTTCTTGGTGGAGCTTAGACTTTGGACTCTTCTCTCTTGATTGTGATCTCAGATGGGTCTCTGGTCCTCTCAGAGCCTCATTTTTCCCCATCTGGAAGATGGGGCTGTGCACACCAACCAGAGGCCAGCTTCTCTTGTCCAGCACCTTAGCTCCTGTGAGTTAAGCTGGCAGTGATGAGTGGGCCTTGGTGGGTTCTGAGAAGAGGGTCCCTTGCCCCATGAAACACTCAGAGCAACATTTTATTCATCTAAAGGACTTTTACTAAAAGGATCTATTGGGGGGATAATGGATAGGGAGGGTGCCTATGTGGAGTTTGGGTTAGGTGACAGCTGAGGGTCTGTGGCCCTCTCTGCTGAAACACCTGGACGTTGGGCACCCCCATCCCACCCACTGGCCTGAAATCACCATAGCCAGAACTGAAGGCACCCAGAAACACACCTCCTGTCTCTAAAAAAGCCCAACCCCCCCTTCCAAGGACAGGGCTGGCTGGGCATGTAAACAGAGTCTTGGGGGGGGTCCCATGGCCCCCTCAGTGCTGCTTCTCATGGTTGGCTGGGGGCCCAGGAGGGGGGCGTAGGAAGAAAGCGGGGCGCCACAGGCAACGGAAGGCCAGCAAGTGGGGGCCCAGAGCATACAGTAGGTTACACACGAAGAAGCTGGTCCAGGCATCCTCAGGCACACGGTAGGTGAAGGGCGTGCGCAGGTGCATGGAGGCCCCCATGTGTGAGAACTGTGCCTGGCAGCCAGAAAGGGAGGATGGGTGTCACAGACCAGAGGACCAGTCCCAGCATCGCCAGCATCCTACCATGGGGAACCCGAAAGTTCTTCATCCCTATCTCTCTGGTCCTGCTGACCTGTCTCCCCTCTTCAATCCCTCTGTCTCTAAGCATCCCTGTGCCCCACATGTCCTGTCTATTCTTATCCATTTATCTGTGAGCCTCTGCCCAGCTGCCTAACCAGAAACATCTTCACTCTGTCTGCTGGACCCCTCACCCCATCTTTCTGACCTGGGTCTAGCCCCTCCTCCTGGTCTTCCCCACCCCAGGCAGCCTTGACACAAATCCTCTCAATTCTACCTGTAATAGATAAAATAATAATACATCTAATCGAGGTCCTCCTGATCCCACTGCCCTGGCCAGGGTCCAGCCTTTATCACTTCCCATCAGAATCCCAGAAACATGCCCCCAGCTCTGAACCCTCCACTGCTCAAACACTTTCTATGGTTCCTCATTGTCCTCAGCACAAGCCCCCAAGCCCAGATTTCAAAGCCCTTAGCATCTAGCTGTCAATTTATCTTGCCGCTGCCTTTACCCACGTTATAGCTGTCTAAATCACTGTCCCCCTCTGTGCATTTCTTTATGCTGTTCCCATTCCTGGAATGCTGTTCCCTGCCTAAAGAATTCATACCCATACATCAAAGCCCATGCCCGCTCTTTTAAGAACTCTGCCCCTCTGGAATCCCTCTCAGCTTCTTTACCCCTTGGGATGGGGTATCTGTGTCTGGCCCATTTTTCTTTCCAACACTAGGAAATCCTGGGAGACTGTCAAGGGCCTGGCATCACCCAGGATGAGCACAAAGGCAATTGATGAGTAGGCAGAGACTCTCTCTCCTAAGCACTGGCCCAACACACCCCAACCCACCCCACCTCACCTGGCCAATGGCTCCAGCAAATACCAAGGCCCAGTCAGGCAGCCAGGAGCATCCAGGAAAGATGAGGGCATAGATGGCCAGGCCATAGAAAGGCAGCACATAAAACATATTCACCAGCATCTGGGGGGCACACGACTGATGGAGTGAGTAGCTGCTCAGTTAGGTCTCCTGATGTCCCTCAGGTGGTGGCCCCTGGGAGGATCTGGCCAGCCTCAGACTCTATCAAGATTGGGGTTCACTGTACACCCCACCCTTGTGGAAATTACTCCTTTCTTTCCCTTGGGTTTTACCCCTACACCACTCTCACACACTGAGCCCACCCACCTTCCTCTATACGTAGCATGTGACCCTGGCCTGGTCAATCAGAACATCCCACCCCCCTGGCCATAATAATCAGCTATGAGCATGTGACTTAAACTTGGCCGATCAGAGCCTACTTGAGACTTACACTTAAGCACTGAGGAATTAAGGGCTCGGCCTCCTCTGAGGTGGCTAAATAGGGAGAATGGAAGCCTAGCGCTACCCAAGGCTGTCTCTGCCATCCCACAAAGGCACCACCTGGGGGTGGGGCACATGCACAGAAAGCAGAGCCTGGAGATGGAGCTGGCTTTGAGCTCCTGGATCCAGCCATACCTGAAGACCACATCTGTGATTTTTTTTTTTTTTGGTAGGACAATAAATTCCATTTGTGCTTCAGCCAGTTTGACTTGTGTTGCTTTGGCCCCTGCATCCAAGGGGCCCAGCAGGCCCCCAAGCACAGCAGGGCCGTGGCCCTCCCCCCACCTGCCCTCTCACCTGCACCTTTGGGTAGCTCACAGGGTCTCTCAGGTATGGTTCATACTGATAGATGTAGACAAAGCAGGCATCCATGGGGCAGTCAAGTACCACCTGGGACCCACAGACAAACCAACAGCCTCAAACATCCCTCGCATAGGGATACTTCCCCACCCTCCTGGGAGGGGCCCACACCCCCTACTCTGGCCTGCCCCAGCCTTGGTTTTCTCCTCTGAGAACCCACAGATACTTGAGCTGGGGAGAAGGCTACAGGGAATGGGACTTTGTGACGGAACGCTCAGATTAAACTCAGTGAACTTCCCTGGATGATTAGGTGGGAGAGCAGTGGCCTTTTTCCGCACTGGATAAAGAAGTTAAAGAAGGGAGGGATGGGCTGGGGAGGGGGGAGGCAAGTAGGATGGCCAGTGCAGACTCACCAGGCCCCGAAAGAGGGTGAAGAATGCAGCAAAGATGAGGTAGATGATGAGGGCCAGGTCAACTGGGCGCCGCAGAAGGCCCTTTCTTTGGGCCTCCTCCACCTGCCCCATAAGAAGCAGCATGAGAAGTCTGGTATCCAACAGGCACTCAGTGAAGGCTCATCCCTTCTTCCCTAATCACCAAGGAGATCTTTCCAAGGAGATAATATCCTTGGCGAGAAGCAACCTAAATGGGGGACATTCAGGCATTTGGGACAAGGCTGACCTGGGGGCAAGAGACTCACCATGTTGGGAGTGCAGCAGGTTGGCACCTGGGTCTGGCTGAAGACCCTCAAGCCAGCCCAGCATGGGACCAGCACGAAAGGAACGGTGAGGAAAAATGTAGGCCTGATCTCTGAACTGTATTTGCCTGCCACGGTAGGAGAGACAGGGTGTCACGAAGCGAGGATCCTCCCAGGCCTGGTTGGACCCTTTAGCAGGGCCATGTCAGAGCCCCTGGCTGGAAGCTGTTGAGTCACAAATGCCATCTTAGCTCAGCCCTAACACCTCTGACTCCCCAGTGTTTGTAAGATGATGACCATGCTCCTCAGCCTGGCCTTCCTCAATTTACCTTCGGGACACGGCGCCTACACTTCAGCTGTTTTTTGTTCCCCCTGGAAACACCCTGGATATTCCTGTTTCACAGCCACCCCCACATCCCTGGCTGCCTTCTCTCCTCTGTCTCCCAAGACCTACCTACAAAGCTGTCAGTCTGCCCTCTGGATCCACTTTAAGATTCCCTTCTCATGTCAAGAGCATTCTGGGCTAAGTCCCTGGGGTCAGGGACCACTACCTAGGGAAGAAGTGGAATGTACTTCCATTCCTCCAGGAGGAAAATGGGAGAGATGTGGGGAAAGTCTGCCAACTTAAGACTGTGAATGGGGAGGCATGCAGTTGGCGGGGGTGCGGGGCTGCCCTCCGCAGACACTGGAAAAGGTACGGAGGACCCCGTGGGGACTTCCAGATGCAGGGCCGTGACCCAGCCCAGGGAGACAGGATTCTGAAGAGCCAAGTCCTTACCAAGGATGTTTCCTGGGAGGAACACTAGGATGGTCATGATGAAGGATCCCAGCCAGTAGAGTCCAAGGTTCCGGTAACTCTTCCTGGTCAGGAGATGGAGGAGTAACCAGTAGATACATGTTACCCAGTCTCAGAGCCCCAGGCAGGGTCCAGAGACCAATCTGGGCTCCCCAGGTCTGGACCCCTTGACTTTCACCCAAGACAGAAGGGACAACAGGGAATTGAATGAGGGAATGAAGAGTCAGACCCCATGTCCCAGGATAGCAGTGGCTGCCCAGGTACGGGGTGTCACAAGAGAAGAGAATCGACCACCCCGGACCCCTGTGACATCCCCTGAATCCTTCTCCTAGCCTTCCTGTCTAAGCCCTAGAGGGGCTTCCTGATTTCCCCTACAGATACTTCTGGCTTCACCCTGGCCTGGGACCTCCCACCTAAGAACTCCGCCTCCTTCCCAGCGTCCAGGTGCCACCCTGCCCGCCTCGCACACCTTTTACGGATGGCACCAGTCATGGCCAGGTAGAGGAGGTAGTGAACGATGCCATCCCAGTAGCAGATGAAAATTCCATGCGCCGTGCGCAGGTACGGCTCACCCTGCAGGGGCAGGTGTGGGGCTCAGACAGGCAGTAGGACTGCAGGCATCCCAGACGGCTCCCGACTTACCTCCTTGGTGTAGAACGCCATGAAACCCGCCATGTAGCCGTCTTCCTGGAGAGCAATAAGGAGGTCCACCACGGAGGTGAAGGCGAAGACCGCGAAGACTATGGGAGAGCAGGCGGGGCATTGGCAGTGTGGGGGCGGGGCAAATATTAGGTGTGGGCGGGGCCTGAGAGTTCTTGTTCGGGGCTCAGTTTCCCAAAGCCTCTGTGCAAAACTGCTCCCAGGCCCAACCCCACAAATCACATGACCCACAACTCTTCCTCATAGGGAAGCACAGTCCTTGCCTTAAAGGTGTCCACAGGTTGATGAGAAAGGTACTGTTCTGGCACTCAGGAGCCCCAAGTCAGAAGGGGGAGGCGCCCTGAGACTCCCCAGTCAACAGGGGGTCTCCAGTCTCTCTGAGGTTCTCCAGGCTGATGAAAGCCCTTCAAGGACTGCCACTCTGATGCAGGAAGCCCTTGCCCAAACAGTTCTCTTCCCCAGGACCCTCCCACCAACTCACCAGCATAGAGCGGGTCATAATAGATGTCACTTCGGGACAAGCTGTATATTGCCAAGGAGAGCAGACCCAGGATCAGGGTGCTCATCAACACCACCCCCAGGGGGCTGTGGAGAGAAAAACCAAGTCAGGGAGGCCAGGCCCATTTTGAGACCCTATAGCACCCTGGTGAGGGCAAGAGCAGACTCCAGGAAGCTCTAGGTGACCAGGCTGAAGCTCCTGTCCATCAAGGAAAGCCATTGCCTGAAACTCCCATTTCCCAGCACCAGGCTCTTGCTCCAACTGTTTCTGACCCACCGCCTCAGTTCAGCTCAGTCGCTCAGTCATGTCTGACTCTTTGAGACCCCATGGACTGCAGCATGCCAGGCTTCCCTGTCTGTCACCAACTCCCAGAGCTTGCTCAAACTCATGTCCATTGAGTCGGTGATGCCATCCAACCATCTCGTCCTCATGCCCCACCCCCTAACTCCTTCCAAAGGTCTTTTCACTTGGCAAAGTCCTAAGCATCCTTCATGGCCCATCTACATTGCTCCTCTTCCAGGTACAGAGGGAACCTCTGTCAACCCCTTCTGACTATGTGATTTATCCGGTCACCTGCTGATGTGTCAGCTTGCTTATTCATTCAACAATTCCAAGACCCTTTGTGGTCACTTCCAGTGCTCACAACCACCAAAGGGTCTCTAGAGCTTAGCTCTGTACACCTCACTGTCTGAAGCTCCTGACGCCTCCCTGATAAAGTCCAAATGTTTCCATAAGCCCCACCCCACCCCTGCCCTGATCTGTTCCTATCAACCTGATAAGGCACGGCAACCACCTATAGAGATAATAGAAGCGAGGTTTCTGGGCAGCCCCCAACACTTGGCAAACCAAGGACCAGAGAGTGTGGGAGACATATCCAAGGTCACATATTCTCCCCTTACACTCTCTCCATATCCCTACCTTCTCCCGACCCCTTAGGATCCCCATTCTTGGCCCCATCCAACAATGACGATTATAGTAATTAGCTGAGACCACAACAGCGTCTTGGCACACAGTTCATAATCCTTGACTGTAACTATGGAATGAGTCTAGGATTATGTCCATTACACAATGAAGAAACCGAGGCTCCCTGGGGCAACCTGGCTCACTCGGAGTCCAGGGGGGTGGAACCGGGAATTTGTACCCAAGGAGCCAACTCTGCAGTCAAGATTCCCTCTACCCCATGTCTCAGGCTGTGTTGGTTTTGGGGGTATGAGTTATTGGTCGATGGCTGGTATTCAGTGGCTGGATTCACCGGGTTGAGGCCTGGGGTTAGGTGACAGGGACAGGGGAGGTGGAGGCATGGAGGGGCAACTGAGGCTATGTACAGGTTGGGCCAGCCCCTGAAGAGAAGAGTTTCAGACAGGCGACGGAGGAACGGTCTGGTAGGGGTAGTGCGGCAGAACTTGTGTGTGGCAAGAACCGGGTCACTGGGGCCTTATCTGGAACAATACTTTGACCCTTGGCGACTTTGGAGTCTGTGCTGGGCATATCCCTGGGAAAACTCCAGAAACCTTCCAAAACCCTGCCTTGTTAGGGGCTCTGTTTCTCAAAGTCCCTCCCCCCAGGCCCTCAACGTCCTAGGAGCGCCCCCAGCTCCACCACACTGCTCCAGCCGGCTGGAAAGGTATTTCCGGTTGGAAGCGAGGGGTTCTCCTGACCCAGCCGCCTTCTCCCCCGGCCCGCGGCGCGGGGCCGCTCGGCTAAGGGGAGCTCGAGCATCCGCATCCCGCCCGCTTCGCACCCTCACACGCCAACCCGACCCCGCCGCCCCAGAGAAGGCCTCCCCGGCCCCTTCCCGCACGCACTACGAGAGCACGGAGACATAGTTGAGCGCGAAGGACAACGGGAGGGCGCCCAGCGATAGAACAGCGATCTTGCCCGCCAGCGGCGGGATGTCCATAGCGGCGACGCCGGGACCCCGGCTCGGTTCCTGCGTTGGCTGTGCCTCTGGGCGCCGAGGTGCCAGGGACCCAGCCAGACTCGGCCCCGCCTGGCGCAAAGGTCGCCCCCTCCACCCCCGCGCCGCTGTGATTGCCCCGCGAGCTCCCGGGGAGCCTCCGAGGCCCCTCCCTCTCCCAGCGGCCCCTCCCCTCCATTGATAGCCCCGCCGGTTTCGCTTTCTACTAATGCTAATTAGAACACAATTCCTCAGAATGCTTCCATTTCTGCGTCCTGGAGGTCCTCGGCCAACAACTTCACTCTAACTGGAGTTCGTTCTCCAGGCCTCGTTCTGCACTTCTTTCTTCACCCTAAGGTGCAGGCGTCCCATCCTTGACTCCGACCCCGAAGGGGAGTCCCTTTTTAATTCTTCACATTTCCCAGACCTCCCTCGAACCCAGGATCAAGTGGGTTTCTGCGTTTCTGCGCATTGGCAGAGAACCTTACCCGCCTGGGTGCAGAGTTCCCTTTAGTGCCCTGGGATTTGAGTTTTCATGCGATGGCCTCAAATTTAAACACGTGTCCAGGTGTGAAGTTTTGACTGGGCCCCGGGGGTAGGAATCAGGGGAGGGCATCTCAAGGCAGACTGCCTTGGGTTGGCGACACCTTGAAGGGCTCGGTGATTCTCTACTGTGTTTCTTCCTTCTATACTGAACACGGGCTAACGTGGGCGGGTCGGAAGGGCGGGGCCCAAGGGGCGGCTAAGGATGGTGAGGAGTTTGATGATGGTGTTCCTGGCAGGAAGAATAGCTCAAGCTTTGGACTGAGCAACAGAAGGGAGACCCTAGAGCTGGGGCGGTGGCGGAGGTTCACAGAGCAACTTGGGGTGGGCGTGGGAGGGTTCTGGACAGCCGGGAGGAGGGTGGGCTCCATCATGGGGCAAACGCAAGGGGGCAGAGGTGGACGAGGGAGGGGGTTGCAGGATGGAGGGAGAATTAGGAAGCAGCAGTCTATCAACCCTTCCAACTAGCCTGGATTCTTGTCCATGTGGTGCTTGTGGCTGCAGGAAGTAGGGTAAGCAGTACCCACTTGATTCCTGTCCCAAGGAAACCTACAGTCTTTTTTTTTTGGCTGCACCATTAGGGCTTTGGGACTTTAGTTACCTGACTAGTGACTGAACTTGGGGCACAGCTGTTGAAGTGCAAATTTTAACCACTGGACCACCAAGGAATTCCCTGGGGTAAAATTCTAACCCTCACATCCCCCACCCCCTGCTCCTGTCCTAGCCAGGGCCCCATCTCCACAGGCCAGCTGGGTCCCCTCTCTGAGCCTGGGTGACAAGATGATCTTTGGCCACTGACTCAAAACCTTCCTTCCTCAGGGGCCTGTTTCCCTTGTGAAGTTCAGGTTCCTGTGGGCTGACCTGAATCTCCAGCCTCCTTTCTTGACCTTTCTCAATTCCAGTGGTTTCAATTCCCTACATGCTCCTCTCCTGTCTGCAAGATGGACCCTCTCCTATTTCCTCACCTCTTAAAGCAGGCTGCAGGGTCCCATCTTCCAGGCAGCTCACCCTGTCACCCCAGCCCCACTTTTACCCCTGGAGGGCCAGGGGTCTGCTCTTACACCCCGTATCTGGGAGATGCCTACACATCCCCCGGGCATTTGGAGGCCTCCTCTTCCAACTCTCCCCCCTGGCTGGGGCTAAAGTCCATGGTCTGAGTCTGGTGATCCTTTTGGTCACTGAGAATTAAATGGAGAGGTGACTTTGACCTGGAGAGCAAGGTGTTAGGGACCAAGCCCCAGGGTTCTCGTCGCTGGAACCTCTGGCACCCAGAACTTCACCCTTGTGCTCAGGACTCTGGCTACCTGGGCAGGCTCCATGTCATCCCTTGCCTTGCCCTGGGAACAGCATCCATGGAGGGGAGACAGGGTAGTGTGTATCACTCCAACCAGAGATCTGCTGCTGAGATCCCCAGATTCCCTCACTGAGACATTCCCCAGACAACCTCCACCGCAGGTCCCGGTCCCTCTTTACAGCATTCATCAGTCTCAGATGATGTTAGGGGTCCATGACCACAGCCCAGCAGAGTGTGGGTGCCCAGGGCAGATCCTGTCCACCCGGTTCAGTCAGTGCTCAGTGTCTGCTGAACGACTGTGTGAACTGCAGGCCGGCCCAGGAGCCTGATGCCAGCTTGAGTCCTCAGACCCCCTGAGCCCACAGGGGCTGAGCAGGACCCACTGTATGGGGCAGGGGGTGAGTTACAGGGCCCCCAGTGCCCAAGGCCCTGAAATTCCAAGCATGGCTCACAGATTTTGGAGACCTTGCCCAAGTTGCTCACCCAAGACCCCCAGGTGATTTCTGCACAAACATGAGGCACCGGCTCTGGAGATGGGGTGAGCTCTCGGCGCGCACTGTGGTCTGGGGTGGCCACTAGCCTCCCCTCTTCCAGGAGGCGTGTGATGTCCCAGTCCAGTGTGTCTGTGCAGGAAGCCGTCTCCCAGAGGCATGAGCCTGAGGGACCTGTACGTCCACCCTACTCTGGGGATGCAGGGCAGCCAGCATGGCCTGGGCGACAGCATCACCAGCCAGGTCTGCTGTATGCGGCGTGGCTGGGAGGCCCTGCCAGTGCCACCTGTCGAGAGGGGAGGGGCACAGGTGTGCCCGGGTCCACCTGTCTTGTGGGTCTGAGTGAGAACTGGGCCTGCCTGGGATGCCCTCCTGTGGTACAGTGCCAGGCTAGGAGGCCCCTTAGGCCCTCAGCCTAGGTCTCCTTGAGCTGCTGGCCACTCCTCCAAAATTCCTCTCCTCAACTCCAACCCAGGCTGATGGGGGACCCCACGAGCAGACAAAGGCCCAGGTGATTTCCCAAGATTCCCTGGGCATTGGGCAGCCGTCACAGGTGGATCCTGTGCCCCCCGTCCACCCTGGCCCCTGCTGCTAAGGAACAGGAGCGGTTTCTGGTGATGGCAAGACCAGGCTGCCACAGCAGGCAGGCTCTGGGGTTTTAATACACAGCACAACACTCGCAACAACAGGAAGGGTGGGCAGAAATGCAGGCTGGAACATTCCACAGTCCAGGGATGGTCAGTCTTTTGGAAAGTACACTTGTGCATTTCTCCAGAATACTCAGTAGTAAGGCCGTCTGGGGTTGTTCTGTGGGAAGCAAGAAAGATAAAACGGGAGGTGATTATGCTAAAGGGAGACAGCAGTTCCTCCCATCCAGAACCTACCAGGAACAGCTAGCTCACACCCTCCAGGAGGGTGGGCAGGCCTTGGGGAGGAGACACAACTTGAGCACAAGTGGAAGAGGGGGACGTGGGTGTGCTGATGAGCCTAGCTGGACTGTGGAGGAGGGACACTTCTGTCACCAGCACCCCCCCTCCAGTGGGGGACCTGACCCCGCAGAGACAAGGTGGGCTGCCACCAGCACCCCTTCCAGTGGGGGAGCTGTGGTGACCCCACAGAGACAAGACAGGGCATGGGGACACGCACCAGGGGGTTGGGCCGGAAGCGGTAGGCCAGCATCATCCTCTTGCGGAAAGCCTCGTACTCGTCATCTTCCTTGGAGAGCTCGGCTGGCCGGTCAATGCCAAAGCCAGCACCGTCTACCGTGGTGGTGCCCCTGCATTGGGGCAACAAGTGGGGTGAGCAGGGGAGCAGGATGGTGCCAGCGGACAAGGGGGTGAGGGGCCTGAGCTTGGGGGCAGAGAGGCCTCACGCGCCCCGGATGGGCTCAGCAACAGCGCCCCAGTGCAGCTCAGTGCGGGGTACGCTGGGCTGGGCAGCACCTGTCTGCAACACACTGGCACTCTGAGCAGATGGAGCCCGAGGCGGTCTCGCCACGAGTCCACAGCCCTGACCTACGTCTCTGCGCGGGCTTCTCCTCTGCCCGCCCCCCGCACTGGCGGCCACACTCACTTGTTGACGGGGTTCTTGATGCCCTGTCCCTCCGAGCCCAGGCCGTCCCCCTCCTTCCAGCCCATCTTCATCAGCATCTGGTAGCCGATGTTCTCGATCGTCAGCTTGAACTCCTTGTACTCTGAGTAGTCAGGCTCACGGCCTTCCTGCAGGGGAGGAGGCGGCCGTCATCCACCGGGGCTGCAGCCACCCCCAATCCCAGCTCTGGCCCAGAACCCCACTCCACCCCATGGCCTCTGGGACCACCTGCCCCTCTGCCTCCCCACCACCACGTCAGACTCTTTGAGAAAAGATCAAGCTGCCCCCTGTCAGGGTCCCTGGGGCCAGAAGCAGTGCTGAGTTCCCTGGTGGCCAAGTCAAAGAGGGCAAGATGACAGGTCACACAGGTCTTGACCACCATGAGAAAGATCCATGGTTCACCAGCGAAGACAAAGCTCATGTTCCAAGAGCCATTTGTTACAAAGAGCGCTCAACAGAAGCCATGATCAATAAGGTGACCACCTCACTGATGAGGTGAGGTGCTACAATGCAGTTTTACAAAGGCCCTCAAAAGCCGACGTGGAATGTTCTACATCAGCTCTCTCCAGAATGTTTTCATTCTGGAGAGCCCAATACGTGGGGGTGTCTGCCTGAGAAATTGCCTGTAATCTGCACTTAATTGGCTCCACTGGAAGCAGAATTTCCCTGAAGTCCTGGGAAGCGTTTCTAAAGTGGCAACTGAGCTGCTATTTGCCAACGTCCTACACAGATGGCATCTGTCACAAGTAGACGCCTCTCCTGGAAGAGGGCTCAACGTCCCCTGTGAGCCAGGGGGCCTGAGGGCACCGCAGGTGCCTGCCCCAGGAGGAGGCTGCAGCCCGGGCTGTTCCACGTTACCTTCAGGGCCTTGAAGGTCTCCATGAACTTCTCCAGCTCATCCGGTGGCAGGAAGTCCCCGATGAAGTGTTTGCCCCGGCCCATCTTTGTCAGCTGCTCCGCCCATTCTGCCCAGAGATGGGGTAAAGGTGAGAGGAAGGAGCAAGTGGCAGCCCCACAGTCCACGTATGAGTCTCAGGGGGAGTCTGAGGCCGTGGGGAATGAATGAGGCGGCTGCTGAAACCCTGATATGAGCCCCAGCTCTCCCACACAGCCCTCTGGGTACTGTGTTCAGGCGCCAGGGAATACCCAGAGGACCATGTGTTTGTCACTGGAGAAACAGGCAC